AAATGCCTGCATCTCTTATTTATTGTAAGTTTTTAAATGTAAAATTGTCTTATATTTCTTAACCTCTTTTATAAAAATTTTCCTAGAAGGTTTATACTGCCTTCTTGCTTTAAAGCAATTGGTCTAAAATATATGTAATCGTCTTAATTAAAAAGTTACAGTAGGGTTGCTTTTAGAGTATTATTTTTTTGTAAGGGGGTGGGTGGGACAGTAATTTGTATTGTCTCAATGTACAGTTTAATGGGGCTAGAGGGGGAAAATAATGTCCATACCATTGCGTGTGGAGGATTTACAGCTAAGCTGTAGTTGCAGAGTACATGTACAGTAATGAAGTTCACTGTGTTTATAAATTGAAAAGGTACTGGGTCTTACAGCATTTTATATATCACACCTTTACAGAATAACATGATGGCAATATACAAGTGATATTGTTAGGTGGTTTAACTTAGAATAAAATGAGAATTCTTCAGTTATATTTTGTACTATGATTTAGGGCTATGACTTAATATTTCAGGCCATTTCCAGTGAAAGAAACTTAGTTTTACAAGAAAAACATTTGCTACTGAATGCTTAAACTAATTTTGGTGTTTAATGTTACATGCTTAAATGTTTTTTTCAGTTTTAACAGTGGCACATCTAGGCATGGGAATATTAATAAGACATTTGTCTTCAGGATCTACTATAAGGTTGAAAATTAGCCCAGCTCTAGGCATTTTACAAATTATTTTAAGAGAAGTCACTCTTGATTGTTTGATTTTTTTTTTTTTAAATTAAAGATTGGGAATGTGTATGAGAGTATGCATATGTGTGTGTGTGTGTGTGTGTGTGTGTGCAATCAAACTGTGGTGTAAATAGATTCTCGGTGAATTCTGGTATTCATACTCTATTCCACTAGTGAAAGAACCATTTTCTAAACTTAATCTGTATCCCTTTGTCTTTTTTATTTATTTAATTTCCTTGGTTTGGAGTTTGCAGTCCCAAACACCAGAGTCTGTACTATTCTATCACACAGTTCAGATTAAGGTAGGCATATGCCAAGGAGGTTCTCACCTCCCTAAAGAAGGGACTTGAATTTTAGGGACTTTAATTCACCCCTTCCTTCAATACAACTTTCCCCTTCTTGTTTGCACATGCCAAGGCACCTGCTTTTATGCAGGCTATACCCCCTTGAAAAAAATCTACAGTGCTGCTCACAAGAGAACCCAAGTTAGCCTCCTAATTGTATTGCTGACTTAAATTCACAGTCACCAAGTCTACCTATCTTTCTTGGAAGCAGTCTAATGAAATTCCTATTTGTATGTTCATTAATTCTCTATATGGACAAAATTAATTGTATTTACAAAACTATTTTTAACTGAAATTTGTTTTGTGAATACTGTATCACTTTGTCAACAATGTAACTTCTTCAAATTGTATATATGAGACATTAACAAGTCTTTTTTTTCTATGAAGAAAATTCAGTTGGTAACAGGTTTTCAGTAATTTCTTCAAAATAATAATGCAATCCCAGTGGTCAGCATATTTTGAATTAATATTAAAGATCACACCTCTACATTAGTTTTTACATTATGCTAACACACCACAGATTATGTTGGCATGTTTTCTTCTTTTATTAAAAAAAACCAAACTTGTCTGAAGTTTGAGGGAAAAAATTATTTCTGATTTCTAAAAGTTATCCATTTTAGTAAATTTAGCTCAGTAGAGACTTTACAAAATAGGAAAGCTTATATTCTCAGTTATTTAAAATCATTAGCCTATATTAACCATTCCTCAGTTTGAAAATAATTATTCCCTGATGCTATCTTCTATATTGAGCCATAAAGAAGGGAACCCAGTGTATGATTCCTCTTTTATCTGATTATCAGGAACTATTTCCCAAACACACAGAGTTCTGTTAAGATATTTTATCCTCCCTCATATTTCAGTTAAATTGAAAATTCTAAAATAGCCATTAGAAAAGGTCAGGAAACTTAGAATAAAGAAACTAAGCTTTTTACACAAGTTTTGGATCTGACTTACTATTGTATTGTCACAGACAAGTATGGGTAGTTTTGTTTAAGTAGGAATCAAAATAGTCAATACCAGTGAATTACCAACACCTCAACTTCTTTGTTATCATGCTAGCATCTTGTTTTCTGTGCAGTTATTCATTATGAAGCAGGGTGGAAGTTCAGTATTTTGGCATTTGAAAAGATTATTTATATAATGTCTGCTTCCAGCCAGTGAGAAACATCTAGCCATACCTTTCTTATGCAAGCCATTCAGTTTTCAGGACTGTGAATTAACACTGTATGAATAAATTTCTGTACACCTTATTGTTTGGCCAGAAGGCCACCAAGTGTACTTATATGTAATCCTTAAATTTTAAAGTAGCTGTAATTTTTAAATCTTTCTAAACTTTTCTTAAACCACTAAAATTAAGCTCTTACTACTTAGTTATCCTCAGCTGTATTCGTACTCAATTGTCAGTATGGCACAGATTACTGTATTAAAATATTCTTCTTTCGTCTTCATATTTACCTTCTGAGGTAATTTTTTAACTTAATGTGTTACTACAAAGATTTGCAGATCTTTAATCAAGCACTATGTTAATACTGTAATATCAAAATACTATGTCGCATTATTTAAAATGTTCAAATTGAATAGATTAAAAGGAAGTTTTTAAATGCTGTTGCATCATATAATTTGCTACTCACCCACTATGACATCACATATTAGTCTATTAATTAATACATTTAATGTTGCATGAGTGATATTTTGGTCTGGGTTTCCTCTTAAGATTTTATTTGTCTAAATTAAGGAAAATATTTTTTACATTTCCTCTCTCCCCCCCCCCCCCAATTCCCCAAAAAGATCAGCTGGAAATCTTAACCTTTTGGTTTTTCTTGGTGTTTTAAAGGGCCCAGAACTATGGTTTAAATTTTATATATCTGTTTTCTTTTTTGTGGAGTATTAATTACAAAACTGGATTTGGGACCTAAAATACTCCTCAGGTTGATGTATTCATGAAGTTTTAAAATAGCTTTAGTTTTCAAAGTAAACTGGATTTGTGGACCTTAAAGTTACTGAGTTTAAACTACAAATTGTAACGTCATTACTGGACATGTCAGCATCAACCCTCTCAAAATAGCTTGGTCACTTTATGAAGGGGCGTTTTAAAGTTGTTTAGCAGTGACATATAATATGGTCCAATTGCTTTTTTTTTTCTTTAAATGTGACAAAAAAAAAGAATAAGGAACAAACACTATTGCTGCCGAATGCCATAACACTGAGTTGTACAAATTGTGATTGAGGAAATGAAAAAGGTTTATACTTTTTAAAAAAAACAACAAAAACAAAAAAAAAAAACCTAAAAAAAACAAAACTTCAAATGGAATAAATTATTCATGAAGCCTTCATTGTGGTGTCTTATTCTGTTGAAAATATTTCCATGATAAAATGCTGCAAAATTAGTAGCCTTAGCATTTTTGTGTCATTTATAAATGGGAAAGGGCAACCCAGAAACTGATTAATGGGCTTTTAACTTGTCTACCTGAAATGGGGGGGGGGGGCGAGGGGGGATTTTAATCCTCTATTAATACGTAATCATATATGTACATATATGCTAACCCCCTTTTGGAATGATGACTTTGATATCAATTTTCTAAAGCTACCTTCAAATATTTAAAGCTTATCAGCTCTGTCCTATTTTTATGTGATTGCAGGGTTTGAAGATAAAATGTTTAAATGTGAACAACCAATCAAAAATAGCTCTATTTATTTTCTGGAAGGAGCTATTTAAAATGTGTTCATATTTAAGCTAAATATATAATCCATATTGTCAATTTAAAATAGTTGCTCCTAGAAAAAAATTTTTTATAATGAGTCTTTAAACAGTGTATGTTGTTGAAACTGGCTGTTAATTATTTTCTGTATTGGCTTACATTATCTCTGATTTGTTTTTACTCTTTTT